CCTGTGTCGGTGAACAGCAGATGAGATGATCACAACCGCGGGTCTGTGGCGTTGCCTTTAGCACGTTCACAAGCAGATCCAGAACTTCTGAAACCGTGCTGAAACAGCGCACCCAGATTTAATGAATTACCACAGCTTAATTAATCACTCCCAATTCCATCAAACCCAGATGGAATCCTCCTAATTACTGCGGTGCTACTTAACCAAATTATTCAGCCCCAAGGGGCGAGGCTAAACTTTTGAGGAGTGGCGTTAAAAAATTCGGACACTCCCCAAATTCTTTTGCGCTCTCCCCACCCACCCCAGCCCAAACTTCTCACAAAATTCCATATATTTTTTTGCAAAAGCTCCAAAATTCCGTTTATTTCTCCCATTTTGGACGTTATTTACAGTGGGGGGAGGTTTTTGGGGGGTCCCAGGACCCCTCAAACCCCCGAAATTTTCCTTTTCTTGCCCTTCCTGGGGGTGGGGATGGACTCCAGAGCGTCCCAGAGCTCGTCCCCCTCCTCGTCCTTCACCCCTTTTTGGGGAGGGGGCTCCTCCTGTGCCTGGGGAGGGATAAACGGGGGGTTACAGAGGTGGGGGGCACCCCCAGCCCCCCAAAACCCGCCCGGGGTGGGGGTCTCACCTCCCAGTCCAGGTGGGAGTTCAGCAGAAGGCAGGTGAGGCGCGACTTCAGGTACACCTGGGGGTGTTTGAGGAGCCACAAGGGATTTTTGGAAAAGGTTTTGGGTTTTGTGGGGGTTTTTTTGGGTTTTATTTTGGTTTTTTTGGGGGTTTTTTTCTGAGATTTTTTTGGGGGGGTGTTGGAAGGTTTTGGGGTCAATCTCAGGAGTTTGGGCAGGTCCTGGAGGAGTTTTGGGGGGAGGTTTGGGGGAGGTCCCAGGGGATTTTGGGGGGTGTTTCGGGGGTCTCAGGGTGTCCTGGGAAGGGTTGGGGTGGTCCCAGGGGTGTTTTGAGTGGGTCTCAGGAGATTTTGGGGGACTCTGGGGTTCCCAAGTAGTTTGGGGGTGG